CCCTGGGATCATGACCTGAGCCGAAGGCAGACGCTTAATGACTGAGCCACCCAGGCGCCCGGGAAAGGTCTTAAGTAAGGGCTAGCTTAGCCTTTAGGGCAGCCTCCTTTCCTAAATTCAGACCTCAATAAACAATAAGTAGAGTTTAATCTCCAACTCTTCCCTCAGACCTCGAAGGACTTAGGAATCACCATATCAGACATCTGAGCAAAGAAAAATATAACTATCATCATGCAGTATAGTAGTAATCGTGCAAATTATTATAGATCTTTAGTGCCCTTGTCACTTACAAATAATTAAAGAAAACAATGCTCAATGCCCCTTCTGACCTCGATGAGAGTTAAGAAATGAACATCTCCCCAAACATACAATGATGCAATCTGTGGAACATGAGCACTGAAGGCATGAGTAAAACCGTTCACAGTACAGTATTTGCTTGACTTCTACTCCTAAGAGCACATGCACACACCTTCCTTTAATGCTACGTAACACTAGTACATGGGGCTAAACTGTGCGCAAACGTGTCAAGATTGACCAAAGGTGTCAGAACTCAGATATACTCTGGAAAACTAACCAAATGTCAGAAGCCCACTAAAATTTAAACAAATTCTTATATCATACACTCAAAAGCTTCCTAAACGGAGCTGAAATTATTAAAGAAACAACAAGCAGAAGTATTTCAAAAAGCAGCATTACCTCAATTGGGTTAAATTTAACACTACTTATACTGTCGAATCCCCAGGTCATTGAACATACAGGACTTGTTCTTTGTTCATCCCAAATGTCCACTTGCTGTCCACATGTGGCAAAAACAGCTTCTTTCCAGTGATGATCAATTCCTGTATACACTGTCTTTAAGAGCAAAGATGTTGTTTTAGATGGGTCTTTCTATCATTAATATTTCAAATCTGCATATTTTAAATATATTTACCCACACTCTCATTTTTTTAAGAAAATCCCTGTTTACAAAGAAACTCCTTTGAAGCCTTTACTTAAAGACTCAGTAGAGCATAAGACTCTTGATCTCGGGGTTGTGAGTTCAAGCCCCACACTAGGCGTGGAACCTACTTAAAAAATAAAAAAAAAATAAAGGAGAGACGAACCATGAGAGACTATGGACTCTGAAAAACAAACTGAGGGTTCTAGAGGGGTGGGGGGATGGGTTATCCTGGTGATGGGTATTAAAGAGGGCACGTTCTGCATGGAGCACTGAGTGTTACACGCAAACAATGAATCATGGAACACTACATCAAAAACTAATGATGTAACGTATGGGGATTAACATAACATAATAAAATAAAATATATACTCATAAAAAATAAATAAAGGATAAAACAGTACGATAAAAAGTAATGATTCCTATCACACATTCTAGGAATAAAGAAAACTGTTAACATGGATGTATTTAAGTTTGAATACATATCTGAAGTAATCCCTAAATCATCACTGGGTATTCAAGGATCTTGCAAACAATTAATGAAATGCAGAAGTAAGGTCTAAAACACTCAGTTCCACATTTAACATATGAAGTACTGATTCCAGGACAAAAACACCAAAACTAACAATTGGATTAAAATTTAGGGGGAGAAATAAACCTGGCAAAGATGGATGCTAATACTGTTAAAATCTCATAAATTTGGTATTATCCATTTAAAAGATGTGATTGATCTATTCAGGGCCAGATTAAAATCTGTCTTTATACTATGTGGTAAAAAATGTTTGCAAAGCAAATTAAAGGGAACTATTTAGCCAACACTTTAGGCTTTTAAGAACTCTTAGCAGCATCCGCAGGCTTCCAATTATATTTTCTATTCACGAAAGCAAGTCTGACAAACTTTTCCACGGTAAGAATTAATCCCCATTACCACAGATATAGGGGTAAGACGAAATATTTCAAAAATATTTGGAGCTCCTAGAGAGAAGACATTTTCAAGAATGAAGCCAATTTTGTTTTAGGAATTACTACTTTTTTTTACCACCTACAAATTATTTCCATCTTATACTCATGCCCCACCTCCATGTGCCTTTAAAAACATTTACAATTTCTTGAAATCTGAAAAGCAGAACTTAAATATATACCAACATAATACTAAAATGATGAACTGATTTTAAAAATGCATTTATTTAAAGATTAAATCTAACTTTAGAAGTTTGCTTAATATCAAAATGTAAGCATTATGAAACATGGGTAAAGGCCATATGATCTGAATTACACTTAAGCTATAATTAACCATATCATCTGATTTGCAGAATAATGTTCTAAGAAATGTAAATGCGATTTATACAAATAGCATCATATTATAATACCTCTTCGTTGCCTAAAGGGTTCTTTCAAGTAAGAAATTCTGAGCTTTGTGTAAGATCTATGATAATATAAATCAGAGAGAAGCCGAAGCATTATTTTTCTTATAGATTTCCTCCCATGGACTTACCATAGGAAATGTTTCATTGAATCCTCCAGCTAAACACAGAAACTGAATCCAGTAAAATGAACACCAAAGACCCATTCAAATTCTTTAGCAGCAAAACACCTTAACTGCATTAAATATTGCTTAAAATAGGTCAATTATTGCAGCCCAAAGTCTCATTTACATCTTTTTTTTTAATTAAATTCTGAAATAATTTTAAGAGAAGAATTTTAATAGACAAAGTACAGGTCAATTTATTTCCGTACCTTCCCTAATATTGTATGCAGTGGTTCCTCCTCTTCTCCATAGCTCGGTCCATCCATTTTCCACTGCTTCACAGTTTTGTCATCACCAACCTCGAAACATTAATGATTCAGATAATAATGAACTACTGTTATTAACTGTAAACTTGATAATATATATATCAAATTATAAACATCTCTAATTTAAAAAATACACATCCCATATCCTTCCAGTACTGTATTTGTTGATGCATTTATGTCCCACCATGTTATAATACGGTATAGTATAGATTTGTGACAAATACACAGGGTAGATAAAATTAAAAATAAGATAGTGAAGTCAAGCAAAAGGAGAGTAGAAACAAAGGTCATAAATATTGCAAGAAATTGCATACTGTGATAAGGATGGCATTTCAAATTAGGGGAAAAAGTGGATTATAATAAAATGGTATTATGATATCAAGTTAGTCATTTAAAAAGTTTGAAGCAATCTGATACCTGACATAAATATAAAATTCCACGTAATTTTAAATGTAAAAAATTAAATACAAAACATAAAAATAGTAGACAGAAGTCATTTTCATTGGGCGCCTGGGTGGCTCAGTTGGTTAGGCGACTGCTTTCGGCTCAGGTCATGATCCTGGAGTCCCGGGATCGAGTCCCGCATCGGGCTCCCTGCTCGGCAGGGAGTCTGCTTCTCCCTCTCCCGCTCCCCCCTCTTGTGCTCTTTCTCTCTCTCAAATAAATAAATAAAATCTTAAAAAAAAAAAAAAAAAAAGAAGTCATTTTCATTGCCATGGGTAAAGCCCTTCTTTGCATGATATAAGACTCCAAAACTATTAAGTCAGTGTTTTCAAACTGTGAAATGCAGACCTCTGAAGGACCCTGAGAATTTTCCAGGGGTCCATGAGGTCAAAACTATTTTCATAATGTTGTAAAGACATCATTTGCCTTTTCACTGAACTGACAGTTGCAGCAGATGGTAAAAAAGCCATGGTGGGTAGGACTGTTGGCACCTGAGCCCAAATCAAGGCAAGGTAACAAACAATGGTAGTTTAGACTTGGGCATGTGGCAGATACATTCAAGATATTAGGTGAAATAAGCTGCAAAACAGAATGCACAATATAACTTAGTTTAGGGTTAAAAACATAAAATAATCATATACAGGGTACGAACAATTGTATATATACACCAAACCACTAGTTTTAACTGAAAGTAGAAATACAGGGGTATGTTAACTTTCTAGCTTACGTTTACATTACACACAATCTACATCTACTTTGTAAATAAAAATATTAACAAAGATATATATTTATCTAGGAGAGGAGTGTAAATTTAGTTCTTTCCTTACAGCAAATTCAAAAAGGGAAACCCTTTCTGCAAAACAATTCATAGTGCCCATGATATTAGAACAGGTAAGTGATTAGGAAAGAAGTTTTAGTACTAAGGTCAGACAGGAATTTCTTTTGTTGAGGATGCTAACAGAATCCTTAACAACATCCTTATAATAGACAAGAAGTATTTAATAGGGCTATATCTTTTTTTTTTTTAAGATTTTATTTATTTCTTTGAGAGAGACAGAGAGAGAGATAGAGCATGAGAGGGGAGAGGGTCAGAGGGAGAAGCAGACTCCCTGTCGAGCAGGGAGCCCGATGTGGGACTCGATCCCAGGACTCCGGGATCATGACCTGAGCCAAAGGCAGTCACTTAACCACTGAGCCACCTGGGTGCCCAATAGGGCTATATCTTAATAACAACCTGAATCTGAGCTATTGGCATCATACCAAAAACTCAATATTGGAAACCCATTACTGGGAGCTAGTAAGATGTAATTTAGGTACTGAGGTCTTCACTAATCTGGCTTGACCCACTGGAATTTTAGCATTTATGAAAGACAGGATAAATTGTCATTGAGAATATCTACCCTAAAGACTGCTTCTTTCGATCAAGCTTCTGATAGTATCTGCAAGCCCAAGACTGAATTCCCTTGTAATCGACTAAGCTACTCTATACAGTCTGTTGAGTATAAGCCTTAGCAGATCCATCAATCCTAAGAAAGGATTAACGTTTTGTAGAAATGAGGAGCCAAGCATTATATGCCTGGCCAGAATATCTTATCTCAAGGCTGAGTAAACTGAAGAAAGACCTGTTGGTGCCACAAATTGAGATATAGTAGATGTTATTTTGCAACATTGTATATTGAACATTTTTTGAAACATTAAGTGCTAAAATTTGGCCAACAAGTAGTTTTCACATGTCTTACCTGAAGAAAGGAAGTGAATAGTGAATATGAAATATTTTTCAGCCTTTATTCATTTTAAGCGTTAAAAAAAAAAAAACTAGCCAGGAAATCCTCTGGCTGGGATATTAAACTAATCAATATATCCAAAAGAATAACCAACTGGAAGTGCAGTTATAGTCAGTCTACTCCAACTTCCCACCCAATTCCTTCTATAACATACTGTATACAGGGTCATGAAGGTTGTTTAAACCCCTTTAGTGAAAAATACCTCAATTCCCTGCCAAGTAGCCTATTTCAGTTTTTGACAGCAAGTAAGTCTATCCCTACATGGAAACCAAATCTTTTAACATTAACAACTATTCCTAATGCTGCTATACAGAAAAGTCCATTTCTTCTTTCACACGACAATCTTTCAAATATTTAAAGGTTTCCCAGAAGTCATCTCTTCCCTTTGCTATGCCTTTTCAATCTACCTTGGCACCCAGCATGCTACTCAAGATTTACATGGTTGATTAGTGTGTAGGTATACACAAACTGCTATATATATATATATATATATATATATATATATATATATAGGTCAAAACATATGAAAGGATAGACACCAAACTGCCAACAGTGGTAAACTGAAAGATGAGAATCACAGGACCTTTAACTTTCTATTTTTTACAGGTCTATATTCCTAAAATATTTCTTTCAGTCTTCATCCTCATCATCCTTTCTAGAAGTTCACACAACCAATGATCCTTTCCTCCTGGGACATAAAGCTCGTTTACAGGGTCTTCTAGCTCTGGCTACTCCCAGAGTTTTCCTACTTCCTAGGAGCAGGTATTCCCCAAGGCTATTTCTTTGACATTTCTGGATTTCTACATTTTCCCTGTCACTTTCCCCCAATGATGCCATACCATGGCTTCAATCATTATTCCTGTACTGATGATACCAAGTTTAGTTCTGACTTCCTTCCTCAACTCCAGACCTACATCTGTAAGGGTCTGATAGACCTCTTCACTCATAGCCCACTGTAGTCCAGTTCATCATACCATATCCTTCCCATTCCCTCTCTCCTCTAAAGTTTCTGACACTCTTGACTTCCCCATTTCTGGAAGGAAAAGGAATCTTCCTATATACCCCTCAGTTGCCACGCCTGTCACACCTCCAAAATGTTTCTAAACCTAACAACTACTTTCCACGGTTTTCCCTCCCTAGCACAGATTCATTATTGCTTACCCAAATTACTAAAACAGCCTCCAAACTGATCACTTACTGCTGTCAAATTAATTACCCCAAAGCACAGCTTAGATTCTTTCATTCCCGTTACAAAACTTTCAATGAACTTGAGCAGGTATTTGCACACCAATGTTTATAGCAGCATTATTCATAAAAGCAGAAAGGTGGAGACAAATGTCCACTGATGGATGAATGGATAAACAAAACATATGTATGTACAATTAGAGTATTATTCAACCATAAAAAGGAAGAAATTCTGACAGCTGCTATAACATGGCAGATGCACAGAAAAAGAAAGTGAAACAGTGGTTACAAAGGGTTGGGGGCAGAGGGGAATAAGGAGTTACTGTTTAATGGACATGAGTTTCAGTTTGGGAAGATGAAAAAGTGGTGACAGTCACACAATAATGTGAATGTGCTTAATGCCACTGAAATGTACACTTAAAAATTATTAAAATGGTAAACTGTACATTCTGTATACATTACTACACACACAAATACTTCAAAAATTTACTACTGACAAAGTACAAATTACTCATCTCCAACACTGAAAATCTTCCAGAGTAAACAACCTTTCTAGTCTTGCCTTGCATTAATCCCACTTCTCAGTGTTCTATAGAATATTAATTCGATAACATGTTAAGTATTTATTTAAAAAAATCAAGAAGTATGAAGAAGGCTGGAGTATATAAAGAAAACCAGGACTTTTCAAGGCTTTAAGAAGTGATTTTGGGTTGTGAAACTCCAAAACTTGGAACAAATAAATGAATTCAGAAAACATTAGCTCAGTCTTACACATGTTGAAAAGCGTTAATGACTTAATTGCATTATACTTACAGTAAAAAAAGAAGTCCCACAAAAGCGAGTACATATTCCTCGTACAAAACCTTCATGTGCTTGTATTGTACGGTTACATTTTCGTTTAGTCAAGTTCCAAATTCTAACCTATGGTAAAGCATACCAGGAAATTTTAGTGAACTATAAACATAAAATGTTCAGGCGCAGGAGTACTACGTTCCAAGAAAAATAAATTCACACTGAAAGGGCTATGACTCACTCTACCAGATTGCTAAAAACAAAATCCTCTAGTTTAAAATACTGCGCTGCATATGGATAGTGTATCAACAAGCAAAAAATTCAATCTGTTAAGTACTCTGTTGATACTAGTTTAAAGTGTTTCAAAGCTTTTTCTTGCCAGAGTGGAAATAAGTGTTGAATCATTAATAACATGCTCTGTGGGGGAAAAAAAAAAAACCTCACCAATACCTTTACTACTGTAAACATGCTTGAGCCTTCAGCTCAATTAAGCCTTCAGCTGCTATGTTTCTAATTTCTGAGGCTTAGATTAGAAACTACTGTAGTTTGTAATTCAAACAGAATTCATTCTTGAGAATTAATAGAAAACAGGACATAGAAAAATGAAATCAAATCAATTAAAATCCAAAGTAACACAAAACTAAAGAACATTTGCAACACAACTATTTTTAGTTTAAAATAGCAATGTTTAGAATGACACTTGCCTCTCCATCACATGCCCCAGACAGGACAGTAGCCAGGCTCTTTGGATGCTTTGCCAAGCAATTGACTCCATCTCGGTGACCATCCAGAGAAGCAAGGAATGGTTTTGCAAATACCCGTTCCAGTTTGGTAGCATTTAAAGCTCTTATGTATTCTCGTGGGACCTCAAAAGGATGTAAGGTAGGATCATAATTTCTTGGAACTGAAATAAAAATGTCTCCTCTTAATAAAATAAAATAATTAGATTTTAATATTTCCTGTGGTCTTCCTCAGCTAATTATTCAATTTGTTACCCAATAAGCCTTTGTTAGGAACACTGTTCTATGCCTAGCACTGTGAAAAATACAAAAGCAGATGACGTTTTACTCAGAAACCTTTCCAAAACTACCAGAAAATCATGGAATACATACATCTTGCAAAATAATTAGACCATACATATAACCTCAGCTTTTCCTTTTACACATCTGACTATTCTTTAACTGAATTGTAAAGCCTTCATGGGCAGGGCTTTCACCACATTCTTCACTTTACTACTTATGCCTAGCACAGTGCTTGGTACAAAACAAATATATGACAAATGTTTACTCAACCGAACTCTAAGCTCCTTTTGAGGCAGGGAACACTTAATCTCCAGTGCTAGTCACTATACTGATAGGCATACACTGTTGTGACTATGATTATAGTTACTTTTTATTGAGCATTTCACACATTTGTTTACTTATTTAAAAAAGTTTACCATGTCCCCGGCACTGTTCCAAATACTGTATATTAATCATTTAATCTCCACAGCACCCTATGGGGTAAGTTCTATTACTATTTCCCATTTTATAGCTGGGAAATTGAGGCACGGAGAGGTAACTTGCCTATGAAGTGATAAAGCCAGGATTCAAAACCAAAGCAGTCTGGCTTCAGAATCCATGTTCTATTAACTATTACGCTATGCTGCCAAACATGTTGTCTCAGTTAACAGTTGTGCTCAGGAAATATTTCTAAGCACACGTCTAAAAAACCCCTAATGTTTAAAAAGTAAATGCATTTTCTTACCCCACATCTTCACCTTGCTGTCTTTTAATCCTCTAACTCCCTATTAATGGTACTATATCCAACATTCAATCAAAATTTACAAGGGGGTGCCTGGGTGGCTCAGTTGGTTAAGCGACTGCCTTCGGCTCAGGTCATGATCCTGGAGTCCCTGGATCGAGTCCCGCATCGGGCTCCCTGCTCGGCGGGAAGTCTGCTTCTCCCTCTGACCCTCTCCCCTCTCATGTGCTCTCTCTCTCATTCTCTCTCTCTCTCAAATAAATAAATAAATCTTTAAAAAAAAAAAATTTACAAGGAAATAACACCTAAACACCTAAACAAGAATGAAAGAATAAAAAAAGGTAACAAATGGAGTGCCTGGGTGGCTTATTTGGTTAAGCAGCTGACTACTGATTTCGGCTCAGGTCATAATCTTGGGGTCCTGGGATTGAGGCGCGCGTTGGGCTCTGCACTCAGAGGGGAGTTGGCTTGAGATTCTTTCTCTCTCTCAAATAAATAAATAAGTAAATATCTTTAAAAAAAAAAAGGGGGGGTAACAAATGTCTTCCTTGATTTATGTTTTACAGAGCTCCTAAACTTCTATTTTTCCATTTTGCTATTAAAACTTCCATCAAAGGTGCTGGGTGGCTCAGTCAGCTAAACGTCTGCCTTCAGCTCAGGTCATGATCTCAGGGTCCTGGTAATGAGCCCTGGGACAGGCTCCCTGCTCAGCGGGGAGTCTGCTTCTCCTTCTCCCTCTGCCCCTCCCCCTGCTCATGCTTGCTTTCTCTCAAATAAATAAATAAATAAAATTTAAAAAAAAAAAAAACCACTTCCATCAGAAACTATAAAGAAATAGGAAGATATAAAAAATAAGACACTCAATAACATCAGATGACGAATAATCTCCTAACATGGAGAGTCTATGACCAGCCACTCACTCACTCATTCCTTCCTTCAGACATTTATAAAGCAACCACTATGTGCCAGGTGTTGTCTAGACACAGTGGATACAGAAACAAATAAGATTCTTCCCTTCTACACAAGCTCAGTCTGATGGAAAGGACTAATAACCAAAATAATCATGAGACAGTGTGATACACACTCTGACGTTAGTACAAAAATGTGATCAAAGCACAGAAGAAGGGTGCTTTAAATAGCTGGGGGGGGCAAATACAGGGAATAAATATGCAAAGATTATTGTTCAGAGGAAGGAGCTAAATTGAGTAAGGGTGTGTGCCACAGGACATCTGAAAGAGAAATGTCTGAAATGCACTCAGATTTCTAAGGGTAAATGTAAGCTACTTGCAAAGAAAGTAGTAACTAGGGAAATTAGAGAGGAAGATGGGACCAGAGGTTCAAGAAGCAGGGATGATGTCAGGTCCAAACGACATAACCTAATTTGCATTTTAGAAATATTACTATCTTGTTACCTAACCTGTAAACATCTTGTGAACAGAGGTCACATATTTACCTCTCAGCATTACTCATATATATGTGGATAATCTCTACTACTCAATCAAAATACTGAAATATCATCCGAGCCTCATCTTCTATGGCTTATCCCCCTTACTCAAACTCCGAAGACATGGCCCTTCTCTTATGCTTTATCTTTATTCCTGCCTTAAGGCCTTTGTTATTCTCTTTTCAGACATGGGTAGTCCCTCGTCATTTAGATATTATGATCTATAAACGATAAGCAGTCAGGATGCTAATGGGGGAACAGACCAGTAAATAAGAATAATAAATAAGACCAATAAATAAGACTTATTAATTTCATTGTAGCCATTTTCCCCATCAGACTTCTGCACAAGAGTTTAGAAAATCGATGGCTTTACGTTTCACCTTTTCTCTTTCCACATTTAGAAGGACGTAACTTTAAGAAGTAAAGTCGCCGAAAGTTCGAGAGGTTTAAAGAAGCCTGTTAAATCCTTGAATTCACGAATTTGGCTTTCACGTTCCACTTCTCAACAACTGGAATCTGAGAAAAATCAGAGAGCAGCAGCTGGAAAGAGGAAGGCGGAAGCATTCCAGGTATGACCAACTTTCCCCCTTACCACTAGAAAAAGTTCTTCAAAAACGGCCTTGAGGAGAAGTTAGCTGCTACCCAGTCCCGCAACGTCCTTATCTGTACAAAGTCAGCCTCGGCAAAAGGGAACAGGGAAAGAACCAGACTGGAGCGCCAGTGTGCCCCCAGCTTTGCTCCGGGGACGCTGAGGCCACACTCAAGGCGGGCAGACTCCCTAATAACTTGTCTCACCTCTTTGTAAGTCCAGCTTGGTTTCGCGGACATAGTTGTCCGGGTTCCGGCTCAGCATCTTCACCTTCATTTTGGAGGCTAGTTATCCCAGACCCCCAAAGCCTTTCCTCCGCATTCGGGTTACCCCCGCCTCCTCAGGCACATGCTACTTCCGCTTCAATACTACTTCCTGTCATGTGACTTCCACGGTGTGGAAGCCAGCCGCCTCAGCAGGACCCTGCGGCGCTCCGTAGTTCTGCCGACCGAGGTTGGCCGGAGGTGGTTCTTAGCAGTGCTCTCGGGTCCGCTTCCCTCGGCCCGAAACGGCCGCAGCTGGGGGCGGAGCGGGGCGGGAGGGGCGGGGACTTGGCGGAGGCCGGCGCCCCGCCTCCTTCGCCCTCTCCGCTGGCGTGACGTGCTACCTCGCCCCTCTCACGCCGGCTCTGCGCTGGGGTCTCTCCGCTTAGTTACCGCGTCCTAGCGCTGGTCCCGGAAGTGGGCTCGCCCCCCGCGGTTTCTGGTTCTGCGCGGCGACGGTCGCCACGGTGGCGGCCACTGCATCTCCTACCACCTCCGCGGCCCTGGGCGTGGTATCAGCGGGCCCTGGGACTATGACGGGCCAGGGCCAGTCGGCGTCAGGGTCGTCGGCGTGGAGCACGATATTCCGCCACGTCCGGTACGAGAACCTGGTGGCGGGCGTGAGCGGCGGGGTCCTGTCTAACCTCGCGCTGCACCCGCTGGACCTCGTGAAGATCCGCTTCGCGGGTAAGAGCCCACTCGGACCCTGGGCTCCTTCTCCTTGCTGGTACCCCGAACTGGGTGATAAGCAAAAGGAGGCCTTGCTTTCCCCTGCCCCTTGCATACTGCGAGGCGAGCGTTGAAGCAAATGCTGCTTATCCGGCCTCACCTGGAACTAGATTTGAGGAAGGGGAGCCTGGGAAAGGGATCCGGCTGGCCTTGTCCCAGTTCCCCAAGTCTAAGGGATGGAGAACAGGGATAGAAAAGTCTGAGAAAAGTTCAAATTGGCGTAGGATGGGGGACTCAACGCCGTATTTGTAAAGTGAGAAAGGGATTGGCACATTTTAGGGTTTAGCCCTCGCATGTGCTAATCATTCACCAACCGTTGGAGGTACTTTGAAATCTTACGGTAGCCACGTGTTTGGCAGCTGAGCTGAGAAAAAGTGCTTGGGCTACGGCGTAATCCTCAGCAGGTGGCTGGGAATAGGTTTGGGTTAGGATTCTCTTGAAGTCTTGTTTTTTGGTGTTTATAGTGTGGTACAAAGTCCTATGAAGGAATAGATAGCTAGAATCCAAATGCTATTTTTTTTAAATTTACGTTTATTGAATTAAGTGCAGGGAGTTAAGTGAAATTTACAAAGCACCTTAGAAGTTAAACTCAACAGTAAATTCCGGAAAAGATAGTTTCGAAGAAGGTCTTGATAACTTTACTGGGAAACTATTTTCTGGCATTTGCTTTTCTTACTACAAGTTCTGCCTTGAGAATTAGATCTGCAGAAGTGGTTCATCTTCAAGAGTCAGAATGATTCTATCCGCCTAAAATATATTGTTCTCTTAATATTTGTAGACTGCTGTATAGGATACAGAGGTACCTAAACAAAGTTCTTATCCTCAAGGGACTTATAGTCTAATTGTAGGCTTGAGTGTTAGTCACATAAAAGATAATTCTAAGACAACATAAAATCGAGGGCAAAATCCAAATATCAAAATATGAGTAGAGGCAGACTATCAGGAGAATTATAGATTGCTGACAGCCATATGTATCTGTATCTGTAAGATTCCATTAGATCTTGAGGTTCCCCACAGAAGGACTGATATTTTGACAGCTGGAAAGGAGTCAAGAAGCTATTCTACAGAGGAAAATCAGTGAAAATTATGGAGTATACTTCCTAGAAGAAAACCCAGAAAGGCATATAATTTTGTCTAGGAGAAAAGGTGACAGTTGGGATGATCACTGAGGAATAGTGTTGGCTTGGTGAGTTTAAGACTGTGCTATGAAGCAGATTATGCCTGAAGAAAGGGAATTCTTGGTACCTGAGAAGATTGGTCATCTTGATGAAATGGGGAGAGTCTTAGGAAACCAGTGTGGCCAGGGTAATAGGTAAGATGATTGAGACTGGATGGGAGGACAAAATTAAAGATCTAGGAATCAAAGTAGGACTTTGTAATGATAAAGTGTGGCTGTGAAATCGTGAAAGAAAAGAGGAAAATGTAGGAAGATGAATAACTGAAATCAAAATAGTTGATTGGCCATCAGCATTAATGCTGTAGTTTTTATGCTTCATAAAACTTACGCCCTTGTAATGAAATTTTAATTACCTAGTGACAGGGGTATTAGTACTGAATGTCCCATTAAACCAAACCTGGAATATTTCGATGAGTTCAGGTGCAAATTGGAACTCAGAAGTGTCCAGAGTGGTAGAAAGATTAGAAATCACTTGTGAGAAATGACTGAAGAACTAGTTTGGCTGCAGGTGGGTGGAGGGCAGGGACAGGTATTTGAAGAGCTGCCATGTGTGAAAGGGATTTATCTTATTATGAGTTCATCTAAAGACCAGGTAGAGGTTGAGTGGAAATGGCAGGCAAGCAGATTGTGGCCTGCCCCAAGTGGGGGTGCTCAGAAATGAAACTGGTGATATCTGGAAGTGGTTCAGGGCTAGAATACAGTAGATAGAAGATACTCTTGGTTGAGTGGAAAGGTCTTGAGGACCCTTCTAACTTTAAGATACAATTTTAAATCATCCAAGAATGATGAGAGAGAGGGGTGCCTGGCTGGCTCAGTTGGAGGAGGGTGCGACTCGATCTTGGGGTCGTAAGTTCAAGCCCCATGTGGGATGTAGAGATTATTTAAATAAAACTTAAAAAAAGACTGATGAGAGAGAGAATGCATGCCCCAATGAAGAATGAGGTATAAAAACAGTAAGTTTCTAAAATAACCTGAAAGCCTAATAATCCATAAGTTAATCGAGGAACCAAAATGTAAAATCAAGTAACAAGAATATCATATAGTCCAGTTTTGTATATATAGGGTAATATTGCACGACCCTGTAGCTTAAAGAAACTAATACTCACTTAATGCTTGCTGTGTGCCATACATGATTTTAAGGGCTGTATATGTATTAATTCATTTAGCCCTTTGTAATTTTTATAGTTAGGTTCTATTATCTTTCCCATTCTGTGGATGAGATAACCACAGAGTAATCAGGTAAGTGATGCAGGGTCACACATTAAGTGTTGGAGTGGAAGGGGGCTGCAAAGGAAATTTAGTGGCCAGCGAAGAAAGAGGAAAATCAGGAGAGTGTGGTGTAAAAATAGCCCAAAAAAGAGTGTTTAGGAGGTAGACAGTCTTAGGTGCTGCTGAATGGTTGGTGAGAAAGAGGATTCCCAAAGTTCCCTTTAGGGGCTTTGGAGCACTTGCAGTAATGGGTGGAGGCCCAAATCACAGGGCAGTGGACAGTTCATACTATCACACCATTGTCCTACTTTCTAGCCTAATTTCCTACCATCCCTTCCCTCTATCAACTGTACACTTTTCACCAAAGCCCTAATGTTCTCCCAGACGGTGCCAGGCACTGGGATGCTTGCAGGTTATCTACACCAGCTATTGCACTTGTCTAGAGACAAACCTTTCTCTCCTGTCCCCAAAGACAAGTTTCTAATCAATCTTCAGGGCTCTACCCAAGCATTTCTCTCATGTTCCCTGTTCCTTCTATACAGAACATTTTTTTGTGTTTCTTCTGTAATCCTATAGCATTTCATTCACCATAGTGCTTGTAACTTTGCAACGTGATTGTTCCTGTTTGGCCTTGAAGATTATGTCTTCCTCAGGGTCAGGGTTTGTGTCCTACTTATGTTTAGATTCCCCCTTTGCCTGGCAATAATAAGGAGTCAATAGTTTTTCAATTTTTTTATAAATTGATAGGTGTACAAATGAATATTTTTCAGATTTAAAGATTTGATCCTAACTATATAGTGGAGACAAGATTATAGTATCAGGGAAGTATAGGGTATAGAATGTTGTTGCCTGTTACTGAGATACTTAATACTCTACTTTTATAATTAAGTGCCCTGTCAAAACAATAAAGAAATCATTGGTTCATACCCATGAAAAGCAAAGATGATGTTTCTATGGTTTTGTTTTTTACCTCAAGAGAGAAATTGTGTTGTGAGCTTATTATTGAAAGGAAAATGGAAAGGTACTTAGAAGAAATTTATGAGGAGAATAAGAGATGTGAAATTCAAATTCTGATGTTTATCAGAAAGATTATGAAATAAACACAGCAAAATATTTCTTGGGAGCCAGTCCCTCTATTACTTGCTTTTAAACTTGGTATCTTGTATAAACTTGACAGCAACCTGTGAGGTAGGTCATATTTATCCCCATTTTATAAATGAGGATGCTAAAGCTCAGAAAGATTAAGATCATGTAGCTAATTAGGGAAATTAGATATCAAACCCAGGTCTTCTGACAAAACCTCATGTACTTTAATCTCATTTCATGGTGTAACATTGTTAGGTTAATGATGAAAGAAATTGACTTTTCTCCCTTTCCCTGGCAATGGCAAACAGTGATTCTTTGCCAGGCTGCGTTTTGTGGTGGAGTAGTGACAAAGGGGACAATGAACTGGGCATGCTTTTATATGGCCAGAGGACTGTAATTTGCATAAACTAGAGGGCAGTTTCAGTATGTACTTAAAACCTTTGACCCATATTAATTCCCATTCTAGTAGTTAATTCTAAGGATATAGGAATTTGAATGTTGTACAGAATATTCCCTAGAAACCTTTTAATAATAGCAAAAAAAAAAAAAAAAATGAGAACAACTCAAAGGAGAGAAAGGTTTGTCTCTAGACAAGTGCAATAGCTGGTGTAGATAACCTGCAAGCATTCCAGTGCCTGGCACCGTCTGGGAGAACATTAGGGCTTTGGTGAAAAGTGTACAGTTGATGGAGGGAAGGGATGGTAGGAAATTAGGCTAGAAAGTAGGACAATGGTGTGATAGTATGAACTGTCCACTGCCCTGTCAAGTAGGGGAATGATTGTACAAATGATGGGATATCTATGAGAGGGAAAACCATCGTACCATTTTTTAAAAATCTTTTGATAGTCTCTTTAATTACAAATAACAAGTTTATAATAACAGAGGAATTCTCACAATATACTCTTGAGTGAAGAAAAAAGCAGTATACAAAACTATAGTAAAATTCCAATTTTAAAAAATCTAGATTATAAATTTGACATTATTTCATTCCATTTCCCCATAGGAAACAGAAGGCACATTCAAAATAAGATAATTAAGGGCGTGGCGGGGGGGGAGGTTGCTTAACAGGACTGTTTACAAAGATACGAGATTATAGCAAAACTAGTATAAAAGTATAAAAGAGATTATAGCAAAACTAGTATAAAAGTATAAAAAGGAATACTGCAGTATTCTGGAGCTAGAAACCGTTTGGGCTGTTGCCACCTGAAGGGCCAAATGTCAAGGGGGAGAAGGTCACTGAGAGAGGGCCACCTTGAGAGGAGCTGTGACTGGCAGTAGAAAAGTGCAGCCCACCTAAGGCAACCCCACAGGAAGGGAGGTAAAAGAGTAAATACCTGCATCCACTCTCTTCCATCCCTCTGATCTCTTGTCAGGCCTCCCCACTAGCCCAACTCAACTAGAAACTAGAAGACAAGGTCAGGCTGCTAGGCAGAACGTGGTAGAGAGGGATGGACAATGGATCTGGAAAAGAAACAATATTCAGGATATAATAATTGAGCAAATATATATTGAGCGCCTACAGTGTACAAAGCACTAAGATAGGAGTAGAAATATTGCATCGAAGAAGTAGTCTCTGCCCTCACAGAGCATCTTCCTACTGGGCAGCCAGAATAATTGAACAATAATGATTGCAATGAAGAGTGTTTTTATTATGGTAGGGAAAGTATGGTATGCCATGGGTGCAAAGAAACTTGAGCTCATCTAGGGGATAGGAAAAAGATCACCAAGGGAAATTATTAAACAGACCTGAAAGAGGAATCAAAGTTAGCTGTGTAAAGGAGTTAGGTGACTGAGAAGACAAGAGTGTTCATGGCAGACAGAATAGCCTGTGTAAAAGCTTTAAGGTTCAGAGACTGTAAGAACTGAAAGTTGTTGAAGATTCTAGCAATATGCATCAGATATTTTAAAGAGAAATTAATAAAGAGTAAATAATTCCAAAAAATAAAGAGAAATATTTTTCTCTATCTAAAAAGGGTTTTCTTCTGAATTTATCTCCGTACTAGGACTATGTGATGTCTGTGTTTATATGTGATTCAGAGCTAGAACTTTCCTCTCACCTAATTTTGTGCCTTTACTGCAGTGAGTGATGGATTGGAACTGAGACCAAAATATAAAGGAATTGTGCATTGCTTGACTACCATTTGGAAACTTGATGGACTACGGGGACTTTACCAAGGAGTAACCCCAAATGTGTGGGGTGCAGGTTTATCCTGGGGACTCTACTTTTTCTTGTGAGTAGATCTGGGAGATTTTACAGTATTAAATAAAAGGAGTTTTTGTTTTCAGTGATCTGTACATTTCAGTTGATGAAGCAAGATGAGTCATTTCATCAGTTTCTCTGAATAGAAAGGGTCAGAAAGAGCAAAAGGCTTATTACTTTCCTTCTCTCTCAGCTATTATCAGAGGCATTTGGTCTGCAAGAAAGTTCTAAATAGGAAGAAGGTGAAGGATGAGTTGGAGAAACACTCTTACAGAAGCCACCTCTGTGAGGTGAATTCGGGAAGATGCCTTATCAAAGTACTCCTGATTTGTAAGGAAGTTGGAAAGCCGAAGAGGACATGTCTTGGGGTCCTCATAAGAACACATACGATGGGAGCCCCCTCTTGGGAACAGAAAGTAAAAGCCAATGCGCGGCTAAGAGCTTGAGGCACATCCCTTCTTGCCTCCTATTTGACCTGCTCCATCGTCTTCCTAGCTCGTTCATTTCCTTCCTCCTTCCCCTGTCAGGTATGAAATACCTGTGAATACGTGTGAAATAGCTGTGATTCTGTGAGCAGTGAAGAAGCCGCAGAAAGTGCCTGTGACAGGCGCACTCAGCTTACTGACTGTGCAAGAGCGTGGGAACAGAGCACTGCATTGCAGGAGCGCTTGCTGCCTCTGATATTTGAACCTGAATCCAGGATTGGGGAGGCTTGTCTTTGTTTTAATAGATGGCATTTTTAGGAGAACATCAGGACCTGGTCTGTTTGCCTTTTTCTCTTTTGTGTTGTATATTTTACTTTTTCTGCCATAATTCTATGGCAGTATCCAAACCACAGTCTTCTTGGCAGTGGGGAGGAGCAGAGGGAGAGAGAGGATCTTAAGCAGGTTCCCCACCCAGCGCAGAGCCTGGTGTGTGGTTCGATCTCACAACCCTGAGATCATGACCTGAGCCAAAGTCAAGAGTTGGAAGCTTAACCGACTGAGCCACCCAGGTGCCGCCAAACCACAATCTTAAAATATTTTTTAAGTGAATGCAAAACAGATTCAACCTCAAAATTGTTTAAAAATGTATTTTTCTTCTTTTTGGTTCTGAGACACACTTAGATGGGTGAAACTATAGGTATAAAATTGATTCTATTATGAATTTTAAGTTGTGTAGGTTCTTCTCTAAAGAGAGTTTCTAAGGACACGCTCTATGAATGTAAGGTTTATGTGATGAGAATTTCTTTAAAAAGTGTACTTGTCTCATGTTAGAATAGTATTGGTAAAGTTTGGAAGGATTTATGTAGCTGAACTCTTCTTCCAAGAGGAAAATGGAAATTGGAGTTAGAGAGAATAGGCTGATCTGACTCCTCCGCTGAGCAACATTGAGTGGCTCTCAGTTTTCTGCCAGATAAAGCCCACGTGTCAGTCTGCCACTCAAGTGTGTCTCGGTTTTCTCGGTCTTCCCCTGCCGCCCTTATTATAACCGTGGCTCATGCTCACCTGTTTCCCCATTGAAACCGTACCTGTCTCCACGCCCCACCAGTGCCGCCTCCTACACAAGCCTTCTGTGAGCTCAGCCGTAGTTTCTCTAGCTCTTATGACACCATCTCTGTTGTCTTTGTTATGATTACTTGTGTGCTGCCTCTGGTCCTTGTTAATCCACTAAGAAGGACCCACTGAGTGTTTTATCTAGCAGAATTGCCAACCACAGTACCTGAACATGGTGCCCGGCACTTCTTTGTTAGGGGCCCCCTTTTGTCCTTCTGCCTTGTCTGCCCCATTGCGGCACCACTGCCACAGCCCTCCCCCTCCTAGTTTTCCTGTTGTCGCTATTAATTGGTTAAGCATGTGATTAAAATATTTTGCATATGTAGTGGTAGCCGTATACATTTCGGGGGCGGGATGGGTAAACTCTTAGAGTAAACCATTTGCAGCAGATCCACTCTTGGTTGCCTTATGCATTGACTTTTACTTCTGGGGTACTGCTGTTAAGTTACACACGTTTTAAAACAGACTTTACTGCTCTGTGACACCTATTCAAATATTTATCAAACTGCTTATGTTTAATTCTCTTAGTTACAATGCCATCAAATCATATAAGACAGAAGGAAGAGCAGAACGTTTAGAGGCAACAGAGTACCTCGTCTCCGCTGCCGAAGCTGGTAAGGCAGTGTGTGAAATCTAAAACAGCAACTACCAACTTGATTTTCACTTTTGTATTTTGTTTGCTTTTTTACCCCCATTGAACAATAGAGTTTAAGTATGCCTATGTAACCAGTTATCACATGGAATTTCTTAGAAAGCAACTATTCTCACTGGTTACTCTGGACAGATTTCAAGAATTCTAGTTATCACAAAGGAAGTAAAATTTAGAAAAGTTATGAATTCTTGATAGTTTAAGATGATTTGGTACGGTGTTTTCTTCAATTAAAGTATAATTTCAGTTTTCAAATTAGACAGTTTAGTAGCCTTGTTTAATTGTCTCGTGTATGTATAATATTCTGAAGAGAAAAGCAGAACAGGACCCATAAATCTTTATAACTCATACTTTGACACTTTGTTTACTGATAGTTCTTGTCTTAAAAAAACCTACTCATTTTTGAATACCTAGCTGCTAGCACAGACCTGAATCACAATGGGACCTAGTAAATGTTTGTTGAATAAAAGACTACTTAGGAAACTCAGCAAATGAGAAACTTAACCAGGTGAAATTCTTCATATACAAAATTGTCACTTTCTGTAAAGAATGTAAAATATTATTTATTGTAGTTCTTTAAGTTTTGAGATGTGTTAGCTACTTTGAATGGATTTGAGGAGGATTTTGGTAAAGTTGGGGTGGATACATATATAGGCACATGTAGAAATTATTGAGGTGTTGGATTCCTGATCCTTTTCCCCTAATATCCAACCCCTCTGGGTTATACTTTGTCCTACTCCTAAATATTTATATCTTATCAGAGTCCGCTTCCTAGGACTCCCATCTGTTCTTTACACCAAACCATACTGTTTAGGAGCCAGGACATCTTTGCTGTCTTCACACCTCAAAGGGAAAGTGTTTCACATTTCCATTTCCCTTTTAATTTACCTCCCACTAACTGAGTGAGGAACTTTTTATGACCACCAAAAACTATGGCTACCCTTTAACCCTCAGACTTCCTCAGAGATTATATCTCACTGTTTCAGGTACAACCCCTGGGCAACCCATTGTTTATATTAAAGGACTGTTCTTAATCTGGATTGTCGTAAGTGACAAAGTACCTGTATGCTGAGTAATCTTATTTAAATTTGATTTTAGGAGCCATGACCCTCTGCATTACAAACCCATTATGGGTAACAAAAACTCGCCTTATGTTACAGTACAATGGTGTTGTTAACTCCTCACAACGACAATATAAAGGAATGTTTGATACACTTCTGAAAATATATAAGTATGAAGGTGTGCGTGGATTATATAAGGTAATGAATTATCAATATTTCTTGAATAACTGACCATTGTAACTTCCCTTGACTCTGTTGTCTGAGTTCTGAATGACCTCTAGTCGGTCCTCAAAAGAAGCCAGGCTCAGGCAAGAAACAATTTAATGAAAACCGAAGTTCTAGTTTATAAACAGAAATTGTGCTTTAATCTGTTTATCCTAATTACCATAAGGTACATCATCGTGACACTGGTGGGTGTGAGAAGGCCTGTCTAAAATTTTGTACAGTAACCATTTGTCTAAGTCACACATCGAGGCCACCCATTCCTTACTCCTGTCCCTGGAAACTGTGGTCCTTTGGGAACTGGCTTAGTTTTTGTTTTTTGTTTTTTTAATTGTTCCCTTTTAGGGATTTATTCCTGGGTTGTTTGGAACATCACATGGTGCCCTTCAATTTATGGCATATGAATTGTTGAAGTTGAAATACAACCAGCATATCAACAGATTACCAGAAGCCCAGTTGGTAAGATGGCTCTTTATAAAAAAAAAAGATATCATTTACATTTATGAGCATTTAATAGATGGAAATTTTGTTATGTTTACTTTGGTAATATTGCTATGATGACAACTGCCACTAATATAATTTACAGTTAAATATTTTATAGGCAAATGACACGTGTTAAAAATAGAACCCCTTATTTGCTAGAGCTTGTATTAAATGGGGAAACCATATTTTTCACTCTCAGATCCATTTAAACGCTTTCCTATATAATGTTTACTTTTATATTTGTAGAGGAATCCCGTCTAAAGAAAAATAAATGTTTTGTTTTGTCATTTTAGAGCACAATAGAATATATATCTGTTGCAGCACTCTCCAAAATATTTGCTGTGGCAGCCACGTACCCGTATCAGGTCGTGAGAGCCCGTCTTCAGGATCAGCACATGTTTTACAAGGGCGTGCTGGACGTGATCACAAAGACGTGGAGGTGAGAGCATGCGGCATCTCAAAACGGCTCTCAGGAGCTGCCCTGCATGCCTCAAAGTATCCGGTTGCTATTAGTTGGGTAGCAAAGGCCACTGTGCTGTGGGGAAAACATGGCTGGTGGCCCCTGCTTTTGTGTTTCCCATTGACTACCTATAGAACCACAGACTTAATCTCTGAGGCTTGATTCCTTCATTTGTAAAATCAGAAAATCTAGGCTGACAAGGTTGTTAAAAAAATCAAGTGAGATTAGGGCTCCTGGGTGGCTCGGTCGGTTAAGCATCCGACTCTTGATTTTGGCTCAGGTGATGATCTCAGGGTTGTGAGATCGAGCCCTGTGTCAGGCGCTGCACTGGGCGTGGAGCCTGCTTACAATTCTCTCTCTCCTTCTCTCTCCTCCCCACCCCACCCACCCCCACCTGCTCACACTCTCTTTCAAAAAAAAAAACTGTGCTTCAGCAAATTAATATACCAAAATTTAGGTGTCAAAAGGTAGTTGAATGGCATTGAATATAGGAAGTCATAAAAACCCTAGTTTAATATAATTAAACTGCTACTTGCACAATAATTTGCAAACAGTTGTCTCCATATAGGGAAGAGATGCTCGCTCTTTAGCCTGTGGAGAAACTGTTATAGGTAGACATGCCCATATTTTTCTGTAATTCTGAAAGGCCAGAGCAGAATATTTAGGATGTTTACATTGAGTTCAGTTCAGTAAATATTTATTGAGAACCCAAGTGATAAGTTCAAAGGCCATATTTCCATTCTAGGTATTAAGGAAATAAAGTTTTGTTTTTGTATGTGCTAGATTTAGTGTCGCCTCGCATTTATATAAGCTATAAGGTTTTTAATGCGTACATCAGTTAATCAGTTAATGCTCCTGTATGCTTGTACGTTTAGAGACATTTGAAAGATGGTAGTCATCATAGCACTTTTCAGTTTTGGAGTGCCTCTGCCCTCTCTACCTGAGTCAGCCACAGAAGGAATGGAAGCCCCTACAAATAGCTCGTAAACTACATTACTTTAGCATGTCAAAAACATGGACTTAAAGCACAGGGAGGCTTGAATGCTGATTTCATGCCCTATGCCAATTAAGCTTCTGTATCGTCAGGTTAGCTATGTAGGAAATTAAGCATATATCTATTTTTCCCTCTAAAGGAAAGAAGGCATCGGTGGATTTTACAAAGGAATTGCCCCCAATTTGATTAGAGTGACTCCAGCCTGCTGTATCACTTTTGTGGTATATGAGAATGTCTCACATTTTCTACTTGACCTTAGAGAAAAAAAAAAAATTAGCTAGAAGAAGATAATTCCAGTACATCTGCTTAAGGGAGCAACTGTTCCTTTCTTTGTGTTTGAGATGTAAACCTCGGAAGAAGACTGCACAGCAACGTGGTTCACAATGGAAATTGGTCTGTAATCATTAGAAGTCAGAGAACTGCTAAGACTTTGCAATGTTTTTCTGCTTTTTGCCTTCCCCGTACGTATGGGACTTGGCTACCTCTGCCAGAAATGGCTCCCATCAACACAGTAGTAAAACTGACATCAAGCGGAGAGTTTCACAGATTTCTGTATTTCACCATTCACGTAGAAGCTGATTACAGTATTTGCTTAAATGGATTAGATAAATGTGCTTCTTTTTCTGAACTCATTTGCCTGGATTGGCTTTAAAATCAGTCTCTGTGCAGTAGAAAGAAAATGGCTTCTGAAAAGAATTATCATTGCTGTTTCAAGGGTAAATTAAACTTTAAGGATTTGCTGGGAAAAGTACTGCTTAAATCCAGACCATTTTTGAATTGGGAAATTTTGGTAAGAAAAAAAAAAAAAACGCTGTCAGTGTGCTTTAGTTTTAATTCAATTGGAATGTGCTAACTAGGGAAATTTGAGAAGTTATATACTTCTCTTAATTTGAGAAATATCTGGTATTTGTTGTCATTCTGTCATTAATTTTTTTCTCCAGGGGCTCTTCCATAATTTAAAATGTAATTGTGGATCCAGTTATTATATTTTTTGACATAGGTACTTAGTTTCTCTTAAACTTAGAAAATCTGATTAGGATCCAGCTTTGTCAGCCCTTACTTAGCATATTTGGCTATAAATCACTAATTGGCTGTAGATGACTAGTAGATCACCTCATACAGATACTGGAAGGATTGGAATGTGTTTGTTGAGAAAGATAAGAAACTAACTTCCTACTTCAGCTATCGGATATATGGGTTCAGATCCCAAATAAATGATTAATCTCCATTGGTTGTTCATATTCAGGTTTAAATACAAATTAAATTGACAGCCATTATTGATTTTACTTCTTTAAGCCATTGTAAATATCTATAAAAGCTTGCCCCCAAAAGGATGCCAGAATAATATTTTTATTTATCATAAACCTTTATGAATGCTGTTGCACTTCCATCTCTTTGTTGTAAATAAAACATTGTGGTTTTCAAAGCCATATTTTAATGGTTCTTTGAAAATAGGTCTATTTTTTATATTTTGAAAATGGCATTGTTTTAAAAATATGAAACAGTAAGTATCTAATTGTATTTATTCTAATCTCTTGTAACATGCACAGGAATACTTTATAAATTAAATGAGATGTATTTTTTCATACTTCTGGATTTACTATAATTAATATGAAATTACTGTTTGGAGTTTTAGAGGTAGTGCCATTGTTTGAATGCCTCCTGTGTACTCCCAAATTACTAAAACATAATTCCTGTCTTCTAAGAGCATACAAGCTTGCAGAAAAAATAAATAAGCATTAAGTAACTGATAGTTCTAAACTAACAGGCAAGATTTCTACAAAGCCCTGTCAGAGTTCTGAGAAAAGAGAACTCATTGCACTCATGCAACAACAAATTGTTACTGAGCTCTTGCTCTGCACCGTGCCAGCCCTGGAGATAAGCAGGAAACAGGCCGGACAACCCTTCCTGCCCTCAGGGGGTTTTCATTTTAGTGCGAGCAACAAAAAACATAAATTATGCATAATAGTCTCGGGCGCCTGGGTGGCTCAGATGGTTAAGCGTCTGCCTTCGGCTCAGGTCATGATCTCAGGGTCCTGGGATCGAGTCCCGCATCGGGCTCCCTGCTCCTTGGGAGCCTGCTTCTCCCTCTGCCTCTCTCTCTCTCTCTCTGTCTCTCATGAATAAATAAATAAAATTAAAAAAAAAAAATTATGCATAATACAATCTCAGATATTAAATGCTGTAAGTGGAACTAAAGCAGAGTTGGAAATAGTGCTGCTATCTTAGGATGGTTAGGGTAAGGAAAGACCTCTTGGAAGAGGTAGTATTTGAAACATTTTGAAAGAAAGGAGGAAGCAAGCCACAATGAGATAAGGAAACACATTCTAGGCAGAGAACTTATGAAGTACAAAGGCCCAGAGGCAGGAATTAATTTAGCTGGAGGGGATGAGTGAGGAGAGGGTGGCCAGGGAGGAGGAAGTTGGAGAAATGACCCTTATAGTATGGTAGGAAAGAGTACAGGATTGTCTTTAAATTTCAGTTTTCCCATTTGCTATTTGGCCTCGGGCCAATCAAGTTTTCTCATATGTAAAATGTGTCTTAGATTTGTTCCCTTGTGAATGAGGATGATATGAGGATGCCTGGGCAAGTGATTATTGAGGGAGTGCTCTTATGAGAATCTGTAATGGAGTGAAGAAAACAGAAGAAGTTTCAGCCTGACCCTACAGGACACTCTGCAGTATGAATTAGACCACAGAGATTGTCCTGCCCTGAGGTGAGAGGCTGGGCTATTGTGTTCTCACATCAGGCAGTCATTGACTACCTGTCATGGGAGGAGGGGAGGCTAGGTCCCTCTCAGTCAAGAGCAATCCTCCAAATAAGGTGGAGGTGACAGCTCTTAGCAGCCCTGTAAGAAAAAAGGGATTTGGTGGGTCATCAACAGCGTCTGCCAATGAGGATATTAAAAAGTAGGTAGCTCATAGGATCATTGATCGGATTAAATGGATCAGTCTGTGTAAAGTGCTTAGCATTTTACAAACATTAGCATGGGCCAGATCTTATAGGCCATGGTCAGAGGTTTAGATTGTGGGAGAGAGCATTCTAGTGATTGTATGAGGAAACAATTAGGAGACAAGAAACAGGGTTACCAGTTAGGAAGCTTTCACAGATACCTAGTGAAGAGCTGGTGATAGCATGGACCTGGTTGATGGAGTTGGAGATAGTTTATAGCTTGGGGGGAACTAGAGCAGGGTTCATGGAAGGGAAAACTTGAAGCTTGGCCTTGATGGTAGAGTTTTCAGAGGGAACCATGGAAAACACAGGTGACATGTCTTGAGCAGTGTGTCGTCAATGTGGTAATAAAAGGAAGAAGAGAAAGCTGAAAGACCAGGACCAGAATGTGAAACTCTTGAGTCTTACTAAATGTGTTTGGGTTTTATTTGATGAGTAAAAGAGAAATGAGAGACATGGTTACGTCTTAAGGGTGACAGAAGACAACCAATCAGATAAGAGGAGCAGTTAAGGGAAGGGGTTATCAACCATGTAAATATTTCAGTAAGATGAAGATGAATGTCACTGATAACTTTAAGCAGATTCCAATTATAGAGGCTGAAGACAGATTGCAAGCAGCTAAGCAGGTGGGGCAAAGAGCAAGTATTCATTTCACTCTAGGCTCTTCTTTCTTGGATTTCAGCAGATAAAGGAAAGGTAGAGAGAGAACTTTAGCTTGAAAAAGGTACAGGGAGTCTAGGAAAGGGTGCGAGTGGGGAGGTTGGCCAAGGGAAAACCAGAACACGATCGTAAAAATGCTCGAAGGTTAAGACCTAGGCCAAAACAAAACTTGGAGTTCAGCATCAGAGAATGAACATATGGTAGAATGTGAACCAAGACAATGTTGGGTGCCATGCCTTGTGAAAAGAAGGTTATTATGTTGTCAGTATGGGCTTTTGTAGTGTGGCAATTTTAGAAGGTCGTGTTGTTTAAAGCTGTACTGGAGAAGGGATATCAAACTAAAAAACACGTTTGAGTTCAGGAGTCATCAGAGCAAGGTCTGTCTTTTGAATGTGGACACATTACTGAACATAAAATCCTCCAGACAGAGTGTTACTACTTTACTAGCAAGGCCTCTTTAGTGACTGTAGAATTACAGAAATAAAATACCAGGAAATGATTTAACTGTTTCTTTTCTAAAAATGTATTAGTTAACATGCAGAAAGTATGTGAAGTTTTGGGTTACTTTGGGTGAGGTCTTAAATTTCTTTCGGAGTGAGTGAATAAGAAATAGACTCTGGAAGTATCTATAGTGAATACCTTGTTACCGGCTGCTTGGCATCTATTTCCCTTCTGAGACTAGTAGCTGGAATTTCTTTTCAGAACCTCTCTCCTCCCTCCATTCTCACCTTTGTGGTTTAGATGGAATTGGCCTCACCTGCCCCAGAGGGGGCCCTCATTAGCAGAGCCAATCTACATGTGCCATCTCTGTTCATAATGAATGTTTGGAATTGACACAGTTGCCTAAGCTGGCCCAGTCGGATGACTCTGAAAAAGACATTTTTTTTCTGTGTGTCCTGACATAAGTTCTCTCTTTGTTGTTTCATCAGTTAGGATTTGTGTCCTGATTCACAAAGCTCCTCAAAGCCAATTCAGATTATGAATTGGGAAGTGGGAGTTTGGAGTCAAAATGAAATAAAAACCAGGGAAATGACAATAAAAATTGAAAGAAGCTAGGACCTAAATCAGGTCATATGAGATTCTGGATCAATTCTGACCCCCAGCTACATGTACCTCTATAGTTTTCATTTGAGTGAACCAATAACTTTATTTTTTAAGCCACTCTCAGTTGGATCTTTCTATTACTCGCTGTGACTGGAAGCTTCCCAGATGACACAGAATCTGTGATACAGACCCTTAAGTCTGTGTGTCATTTTCCCATCAACTGTCATGATGTTGAACTCTCGTTTCTGTGGAAATTGATCTTACCTTTAGGAAAAAGGAGCACTTTGTGACCCTTCCATAGGTTGTATAGGTTTTTGAAAATGTTTTTACCTTAACTGAAAAACATTAGTTATTTAATATTTATAAAGAATTAAAGGGGTTATTCACCTCACCATGAGACGCATGAAAGAGGAAGACGGATCAATAGCCTTAGAAAAATAACTAAAATCTGCTATTGGAGAAGGTCCAACTGTACAAGTGTTGGATGATTTGAAAGTTGTCCCCAGTGTATTTTCTGACATCAAATACTACAAAATTGTGTGCTTATATTAAATTTCAGTATATATTAATTGTGATGCCAGGCAAGGCTAGAAAGTGATAAAACCAGTTCATACTCAACATGTCAAAAAGCAACAAGATGCTTTTGTTAAGTGATTCACATTAACCTCTTTCTCATCCAGGCTTTAAAAGATTTCATAACTAGGGGGTACCCAGGTGGCTCAGTTGGTTGAGCATCTGACTCTTGATTTCAGCTCAGGTCATGATCTCAGGGTCCTGGGATAGAGCCAGCATCAGGGTCCCGGCTCAGCAGGGAGTCTACTTGTCTCCCTCTGCCCCTCCCCCTGCTTGCAAGCTCGCTCGCTCTCAAATAAATAAATCCTTTTTAAAAAAAAAAAACTAATTCATAAATTAATAAGGTAAGTGAAGCATGAAATATTATCCTTAGTAGTAGTAAGGCTGAAATTAGAGAATGAGGCTTATAACTGTGGAAAAGAGGGCTTCCTTATACTAAGCCTGAGTCATACAGACCTACCCATCCAGCCACAGAGAGCACTGGACCAACACTCTTACAGTCTGTCCTTGTAAAACAGT